AGTATATCAAAGGGGGTTTATAAGAGAATATCTATGACAAAAAAAAAAAAAAGAGTTAGGTACCTGGTAAATCGTTTTCTGGGAATCTTCTGGCTGAGGACCACCTGAAACAGCAAACACTTTATCTACTTTATCTACCTAAAAAGTGACACATGCCTATACACCTATACACCTCAGTCATACAAAAGAGTCAAAGAAGCAACAGGTAAAGAAGTATAAGCTATTTTAATACATACTAAGAAAAAATATCAAACGCAAAATACTTTGCTGCCCTGGAAGATTAACAGAAAATGAGTTATCAGGTACCCAACTGTTTTCTCATGTCATCTTCCAGGGCAGTAGCTGAGATGATTGGCAATAATAACTTGTCAGGGAGGGACTATAGCCTGAAGCACCTTTCTACCAAAGAATTAGTCCTGACTGGAAAGAGGTCTATCCTGAAGCGCCTTACGAAGAACTAAACATTCAACTATGTTCTTGCCCTGCAGCTCTGATCAGGTGTAGCTCTCGTTCTTTTTTCATATGAGGATGCCCGGGCTCTGGTGGAATGGGTTGTGATTCCTTTTGTTGGCACTAGGTTTTGAGATTGGTAAGACAATGATTTGGCCTCCTTAATCCATCTGGCTATATTGTTATTGGAGGCTTTGTGATCTTTGCTGGGCCCTAAAAGAAGGAAGAAAAACATTGCTGACATCTTTTTCCAGTCCTTTGTCTTTTCCAACTAGGCTATGAGACATCTCCTAAAGTGCAATCTACTGAAGGTTTCTATGTTGTTCGCTGCATTTGCACATAATGAGGTAATAATGATGTCTCGTGCCCAGTGAAAGGCAGAGGATACTTTTCTGTTTTTAGGACTATCTTGCCCAAGAAGATAATATAGTAGGGTTCTAAGATGGAGTGCTTGGATTTCGCTCACCATGCATGCTGACACCAAAGAAACCACCAGAATGTTTTAAGGGTAAGAATTCTAATTGAACAATCATCTATAGGCTCAAATGGGGGGGGTTCAGGAAAACTTTAAGATTGTATACAGATCCCAGGCCAAAAAATTTGAGGGAGGAGGCCTTGATATGGCAATGGATCGGAAAAACCTTTTATAGCTAGTGGCTCTTTTGCCAATCTGATGTCAAGAAAACAAGATAAAGCTTAAACCTGCACTTTGAGAGTGCTGTGTGACAGTTTATCTACTCTTGTAGGAGTTCTAGAATCAAAGGGATGAGTGGCCTGCTCTCGACTGTGTTCTGTATTTCAGGCATTACATTTTTTGCGTACTTTTTTGTAAATGGCTTAAAGTCACCTTTTTCCTGCTGGCAAGCAGAATGTTAATAACGCTGACTGATAGTCCCTTGTTTTGTAATATTATCCTTTCAATAGACAAACTGAAAAGGTTAGGGTCTTCATGTGAGAATGTGTAACCAATCCTTGCTGTAAAAGATCTTTTTGAATGTTAGCAGGATGTTCTGTTATATACTCATACCTTGTGAGAGAGTAAACCATGCCCTTTGAGGACACTATGGTGCGATCAGTACGACTGTTGTCTTCCGCTCACTGATTTTTTTATATTACTTTTGGGATCAAGTTGATCGGGAAAAAACGCATTGGTGAAAGGAAAGGTTCGACTTTGGGCAAATACATATAAGCCTACATTCCCCTTGTTCTCTGTTAGGAAAAAGATTTTTTTTTTTGAGTTTTAGCATTGCTTCTTGAAGCAAAGAGGTCGATTGCTAGTGCCTCCATGTTTGTGTGATCCAATTGAATGTTTGTTGGTCTAGAGACATCTCTGTTTTAGACTATTCCTGCTCAAAAAGTCTGCTAGAAGATTTTGAGTCTCCTTCTGGTGAATGGCTGATGGGGATAGTAGATTTTCTTATGACCAGGATAGGATGGGGTCTGCTAGAGCCATCAAATAGTGAGATAGGGTGCCCCCTTGTTTCCTTGTTTGTTGACATAGTGTCTGCCTCTGATGTAAGTCTGCCTCTGAGCTGTTTCTGGAAGTTATAAAGAGCTTGTTCTACTGTCTTCAATTCTCTTATGTTAAAGGATTCCTGGGCCCTTGTTCCATGTGCCTTGTTCTTTTCCACACTTGCATCCATTGTTATTCTGATTGTATTGGTCTGTGTCCACAGATGTCCCGGTTTGTATTTAGCCACCATCTCATGGAATCTTTGACCTGTGGGAGAATCTGGACCAAGTCTTCTAGGGCTGTCAAGATTACCAGGAAAGAAGGAAGTTCTGTAAGGGTCTTGTATGAAACTGAGCCCACGTAACTGCCGAGATGGCAGAGGTCGTGAGGCCTAGGATCCTTGTGATGGTTTTGATTGTTGTCATGTAGAGAGATGTTATTTCTTCTGTAAGACTGATTTGTCTGGAATCCACTACATAGCCTATGTAGATGATGGTTTATGTTGGCATTAGGTAAGATTTTTCTTCATACACCAGCCACCCCAGATTTTCGAGGTGTTTTAATTGCTGTTCTCAGATTGTCTTCTTGACTGTCCTTTGGATCCAAAAAAGGAAAGAAGGATTTTTAGGTAGGATATTACACCAATCCCCTTCAGTCTTAGACCTCTCTGTGCTTCTGGTAATATTTTTGTAAATCTCCTTGGTGTCAACGAGAGACCAAATGGTAAGGCAGAATATTGAAGGTGTACAGTGTCTTTATAGTGACTCCAAATATTGTTGATGACTGTTTTATGGGATGTAGACCCTCAGAAGTCTTTATAGTCCAGTGTTGCCATGAATGCTGGTTGTTTTATTATCTTTTGAAAGAATACATTAATTCCATGAGGAATTCTTTGTATTTTACCTTCTTTAAAGACTTGAGATTCCAAATTAGTCGGAATTTCCCTGATGTTTTCCACTTTGAAAATAGGTGAGAGTAAAACCCCCTCTCCTCCTCTGAACAAAATCGCTGTGTCTGCTTTTTCTTGGTTAATGGGAACCCCCTCCTCCTCTCTGCTGATCTGTCTAGTACAAACTCTAGTTCCAGTTTAAAAAGTAAGTTTCTTGATAACAGGATTCTGCAGAGTTTGGCTTTGGAGGTTACATTCCCTGTCTGAGTTTTGAGCCATAGTGCTCTCCTGGACAAGGGTTGTAGAACATACAATAACCTTTACTGCCTCTGCTGAAGCATCTGCAATGAATGCAACCACTTTAAGTGTTTAGTAGTACTTCTTTGGATGTTGCCAGCTTCTCGGTGGGACTGGAATTGGTTTAACCAGAGGATGAGTGTACGGGCCACAAATGTTGTAGCTATGTCTGGTTTGAAGTCAGTTGACACTGCTTCCCAGGCCCTTTTTAACAGTGCCTCTGCCTTTTTGTCTATCGGACTCCTGAGAGAACCAATATCTTCAAATGACAGGTCAGTCTTTTTCAATTGTAAAAAGACAAACAGAAAACGTACTAGCCTAGTGCATTATCCCAAAGGTAAGATTATTAGAAAAAAAATTTATACTCACAAATAGGTAAAAGATCATATATCAATAGCAGTCTTTGGTACAATAAGTAATGAAACCCAGTGGACCCTCAGACGCCAGAAAGATACCTTCCAGGACCGTAAGATGGCTTATGCGTTGAGGAAAACCCTCAACATCAGAGTCTTTTTTAATACCTTGGACAGTGGCAAACATCTTTTCTGGCTCTGTCTATTCCTTAGAGTGAGAATGAGAGTCACTACCTCTAGACTTTTGCCTTCTGGAGCCTTGGTCTGAAAAGAGACACAAGGAACCGGATGGTAAGTAAAGACACCAATCCCACCAATGGAAATAGAAAATCCAATTAGTACTGGGCAGGTGAGAGCAGGAGGGTAGTGATGGAGTCCTCTATGCTTACCTTTGAACTGTCCAAAAGCACAGGATCTGCTGGGCAGGTAGATGGTGTGACATCCAACATGGTCAGCTTAAAAATAGTACTGTCAGTCACTCATTTTAAGCTCCCAGCCTTAGCTCCGGCCTCTCCTCCAGCTGTCCCGCATGTATGGTGGAAGTACATACCACTTTAGCCTCTATGCTGACCCTTTGACGATTATGTCGCTGATCCCAGTCTGTGTGTTTTGTCGGAGCTTTGTCGTACCAAAAGTGACGCACACTGGAAGTGATGTAACACTTCCCCACAGTTGCCAAGGACCAGAAATGATGCCTTGGAGGGAAGTGCATCACCAAAAATTATGTAATTGATGTCTTCCAGCCCACCCAGCGCCGTCTTGCTTCACTGGTGGCACCAGCTGTCTATATAGAACCTTCGTGCAGGAGGAAAGGACAGTAATCAAAAAAAGATGCAGAAGACAATACCCAAATATGGGTCCACTAGAGGTAAGAACCGGGGAATGGCTCCCAAAAAGTTATTCAGTTGGGGGGATGGTTGCAGACCTCTGGGTGGAGGTGAAACCTTGATTAATAAGAAATGATTTTGGAGGTAGTGAGTCAGGAAAGGTCCTATATTTTGCTGGGAAAACCCTAACTAGACATGTCCAGCACCTTTTGGTGCTGTGGAGGACAGTCAGGCTCCTGCAACAAGTATGAGAACCTTTCTGAAAAATAACAAACATGTGATGCTCCTGTTGGCCTGAAGGAAACACAAAAAAACTCATAGTCATGAGTCACTTTTTATAATGGTAGATGATGTGCTTCCTGTTTCAGGTGGCAGGAGCCTTGTTTCAGTTGCTGATCTGGAAGATGATTTGAGAAACCTTTTAACCAATATGGCACAAGCAAAAAGTGATTTGGAGATGAAAATGCATTACCTGATACATGCACACTGCAAAGCAAATTACATTTTCTACATATACAAAAAAGGTAACTTTTCTTTGTAGTCCACTGTGACAAACACAAAACATTTCATAAAGAATTAGCCACAGGCATATGTGTAAGTTTTGTTTTTTTAATTTCACTTACACCAAAATATATCACTCTGCTGTTAATCACCAACAGTGCAATTACAACACTGTAACAACATGCAACTATCTTGAGCTCTGTTCCCAGAGCAGGGTAGGCTAGGCTTACCGCCGAATCCTGTTGATGCTGTTGTGGTATTGGTACCAAATCCAAAACCTGATGCCGTAGTTTTGGGAGTAAAACTTCCCAGGGAAAAGCCAGTTGTGCCTGTTGTACAAAATACAGTAGCGATGAAAGAAAATACTGGAACTTTGCTACACGTATTAAAAGTACAGCAAAGCTTAAAAAACAAGAAAATAAGCTTCCAAGATATTTTATAAACCTGTCAAATGTTTCACAATATTGTAGAGCATTATCAAGCAAGGGCTGTTGCTCCCTTTTACGTACATCAAAACACAATCATGAATCTCATACAAGAGTTAACAGGTTTTAATCTTTTTAAATCTGCAGCTTTCATTACAGAAGTTCACCTTTCATAACACGTTAAACCTGTATTCAGGATGTAACATGTTACTAAATAAGCAGCCCCCGCACACCCCCCTCCCGCCAGTGTGACAGTGGGCTGGGGATCTTCTTTCTTCACCCACTGCAAAAAAAAAAAAAGCTGGAAGAACTACAACTACTGTCAGCCTTTGCAGCAGACAGCTTGTAGTTCTCAATGAACTACCAGGGCACCGATGAATCTAGGTAGTTCATTGATTCTTGCTGTCATTCATTACCTGCCTGCCCCTACGAGGTATGGGCAGACAGCTACACTGACAGTGTTCAGGATCCTGAGATTGCACCACGATCTGCTAATAATAAATGTACATTTTTTTACCTGCAAAAAAGATGTACATTTATTAATTATTTATTTTTTTAATAAAAGTATCCTTGTATCAAAGGTTCAGGCTGGTGGTGTAATGGTGTGCGGGATATTTTCTTGGCACTAACAAGGTATACCTTATAAAGTGGCCGGTGAGTGTAGTTGACCATTGTCATCATAAAGAAGTTGATCCAGAGCCAAAAAACAGCTAATGCTGGAGCAAGCGACAGAAAGTGGCTGAAAAAGGATGGAGGAGATCAGCAGCTCCGAGACAGAAAACAGTACTTGTACAGGACTCAGAGTGCACCAGTGGAGTGGCAGAATACAACAAAACAGAAGCTGGATTCACTGACATGAGAGTATGCTGGCTAAGGATAACCCAACAAAACCAGCAAGTAGGGGATTAAAAAGCAAAATTCCTACAGTGGATCACTTTTACCACATACAACATACAGTGAGGAACAGAGGTATTTGAACACCCTGCGATTTTGCAAGTTCTCCCACTTAGAAATCATGGAGGGGTCTGAAATTCACATTGTAGGTGCATTCCCACTCTGAGAAACAGAATTTAAAAAAAAATTCAGGAAATCACATTGTATGATTTTTTTAAAGAATTTATTTGTCTTACACTGCTGAACATAAGTATTTGAACACCTGAGAAAATCAGTGTTAATATTTGGTACAGAAGCCTTTGTTTGCAATTACAGAGGTCAAACGTTTCCTGTATTCTTGACCAGGTTTGTACACACTGCAACAGGGATTTTGGCCCACTCCTCCACACAGATCTCCTCTAGATCTGTCAGGTTTCGGGGCTGTTGCTGAGCAACACGGAGTTTAAGCTCCCTCCAAAGACGTACTATTGCAGGGGTGGCTAACCTGTGGCTCTCCAGCTGTTGTGGAACTACATTTCCCAAGAGGCATTGCAAAGATGGGAAGTTACTGACTTGCAGAGGCATGATGGAACTTGTAGTCCTGCAGCAGCTGGAGAGCCGCAGGTTGGCCACCCCTGTACTATTGGATTTAAGTCTGAAGACTGGCTAGGCCACTCCAGAACCTTGATATGCTTCTTACGGAGCCACTCCTTGGTTATCCTGGCTGTGTGCTTCGGGTCGTTGTCATGTTGGAAGACCCAGCCACGACCCATCTTCAATGCTCTGACTGAGGGAAGGAGGTTGTTGCTCAAAATCTCACAATAAATGGCCCCATTCATCCTCTCCTTAATACAGTGCAGTTGTCCTGTCCCCTCACATAAAAGCACCCCCAAAGCATGATGTTATCACCCCCATGCTTCACAGTAGGGATGGTGTTCTTGGGATGCAACTCATCCTTTTTCCTCCAAACACGACGAGTGAAGTTTAGACCAAAAAGTTCTACTTTGGTCTCATCTGACCACATGACTTTCTCCCAAGCCTCCTCTGGATCATCCAGATGGTCATTGGCAAACTTCAGATGGGCCTGGACATGTGATGACTTGAGCACGGCAGTGACGGCTGGATGTGGGCAAGCTTGGGCTGGGAAGAGGGTGGAGCTTGGGTAGAGACAAGTGCAGGGCTGGAACTGAGGCGAAGAGTGGGCTGAGGCTGAGATGAGGGTGGAGCTGAGCTTTGCAGATGTAGGTGCAGTGGGCAGTTTAGACCGGCAGTCTAAGACTCCCAAGTATGCCCACTACAACAAGCCAAATCATTATTATGTCCCTGCCGGCTGCAGCAGAACTACAGCATGGAGGTTACTAGACCGGTGATTGTAAGTATAGAGGATACAGCAGCCACCGATCTTACAAAACAGATGTGCTTGTGAATCAGAGCAGGAAGACTGGAGAATAATGATGGATATCTCATGTTCAACATGCCTATTAATGCACACAGCACCACATTTCTTATAGGTATTAAAGCTCCATTGTAGATATTGAACATTTCTGCCCGGAGTACATCTTTATCACGTGCTTACATTGGCTTGTTTGGAGGAATAAAAACAAAGTCAAAATGACCTCAGACTGTCTAATGTCAACTGGTGTTTTGTCATTTGTGGAAATGCTGTCCACACCAGCTGGTTTATTTACGGTTTCCCTTTGCAAACCCACTGCTCTCTGCCAGCCAGGAGCAAGGGAGCGTTTCCCTTGTAAGCTCCAAGTTTTGACAGATACACTTAGGAAATGGATTTTTGTAAAATCATTCAATTAGTATAGTAAAGACAAGCAAACTTTAAATAAATGGAGAATTATTATTCTAATACAGGATTTATATAGCGCCAACAGTTTGCTCAGCGCTTTACAATATAACGGGAGACAATACAGCAACAATACAGTTCAATACAAGAGGGTTAGTAGGGCCCTGTGTAACAGCGTATACCCAGAGATGGACGCGGTTCAACCATTTTGGTTTCAACCTCCATCTTGGCACAGGGGTTAACTGTCCTGACAAATATATTTCTCCCTTATTCTCTCCCCCCCCCCCCCTTCCCTCTGTGAGAGGCACAGTGACTTATGGCAGTATATGTGTGTGTTAGAAGTGTCACAGGCCAGATCCCAGCAGGGAGCCATGAGGTGCCTCACTGTCCCAAGAACCTGTGCCATTTCACACCTTGGAAGAGATAAGGCAAGCTTTCTCAGGAGTTGAGAGAGATTCCAACCTAATCAAACCTTAGACTTGTTGATGCCAGGGAAAGGAACTGTGCCCCAACCTTGACGTCAGGGGGAGGAACAGTGCCCCAACCTTGACGTCAGGGGGAGGAACAGTGCCCCAACCTTGACGTCAGGGGGAGGAACAGTGCCCCAACCTTGACGCCAGGGGGAGGAACAGTGCCCCAACCTTGACGCCAGGGGGAGGAACAGTGCCCCAACCTTGACGCCAGGGGGAGGAACAGTGCCCCAACCTTGACGCCAGGGGGAGGAACAGTGCCCCAACCTTGACGCCAGGGGGAGGAACAGTGCCCCAACCTTGACGCCAGGGGGAGGAACAGTGGCCCAACCTTGACGCCAGGGGGAGGAACAGTGCCCCAACCTTGACGCCAGGGGGAGGAACAGTGCCCCAACCTTGACGTCAGGGGGAGGAACAGTGCCCCAACCTTGACGTCAGGGGGAGGAACAGTGCCCCAACCTTGACGCCAGGGGGAGGAACAGTGCCCCCTCCTTGAAGCCAGGGGGAGGAACAGTGCCCCAACCTTGAAGCCAGGGGGAGGAACAGTGCCCCAACCTTGACGCCTGGGGGAGGAACAGTGCCCCAACCTTGACGCCAGGGGGAGGAACAGTGCCCCAACCTTGACGCCAGGGGGAGGAACAGTGCCCCAACCTTGACGCCAGGGGGAGGAACAGTGCCCCAACCTTGACGCCAGGGGGAGGAACAGTGCCCCAACCTTGACGCCAGGGGGAGGAACAGTGCCCCAACCTTGACGCCAGGGGGAGGAACAGTGCCCCAACCTTGACGTCAGGAGGAGGAACAGTGCCCCAACGTTGATGTCAGGGGGGGGAACAGTGCCCCAACCTTGACGTCAGGGGGGGGAACAGTGCCCCAACCTTGACGTCAGGGGGGGAACAGTGCCCCAACCTTGACGTCAGGGGGAGGAACAGTGCCCCAACCTTGATGTCAGGGGGAGGAACAGTGCCCCAACCTTGATGTCAGGGGGAGGAACAGTGCCCCAACCTTGATGTCAGGGGGAGGAACAGTGCCCCAACCTTGACGTCAGGGGGAGGAACAGTGCCCCAACCTTGACGTCAGGGGGAGGAACAGTGCCCCAACCTTGATGTCAGGGGAGGATCAGTGCCCCAACCTTGATGTCAGGGGGAGGAATAGTGCACCAACCTTGATGTCAGGGGGAGGAATAGTGCACCAACCTTGATGTCAGGGGGAGGAACAGTGCCCCAACCTTGATGTCAAGGGGAGGAACAGTGCCCCAATGTTGATGTCAGGGGGAGGAATAGTACCTGTTTATATCAGTGTAAGGAAAAGTGCCCCATAGTTGGTGCCAGTGAAAGAAACGGTGCCTCCTTGTTGGTATCAGGAGGGCCTGATAGAGGCAAGCAAAGGGCCACATAAAAGACCATTGATATAGACCAACAAACATCTTGCTGCTTCCTTCTCTTCTCCGGACTGATCAAATTCTCCTCCGGAATTTTATTTACTTTCTGCAAATAATTACTCAATTCCCTGACACACCAGCCCACCGGTTGCACAAAAACCAATCAGCTCCTATCTTTAGTGTGCTCAGTTAGGCTTTGCAAATGAGAGATAGAAGCTGATTGGCTGTCATGCATAGCTCCCCTAGTTTTGATGTATTCCCCTTTTTATAACCTCCCATAACGTGACAGTCAGCCTAGTCTACACATCAGGATACATTATGACTGAACACACCGTCTATACTGAAGGTTGTGAACCACCATATGCATGGCAGGGAAAACAAGTAATGGATACTGGTCTAGTGACCCTCCTTTTGACTAGCCGCCTACCTTGGTTGGTCGCTGCGCCCGCGGCGGAGCCGAAATTGAACGCCATGTCACTACTGACACGAGAGCCAACCCAGTTGGAGGCCAAGACAGTCAAAAACGCGCTCCAACCATCAGGAAGCAAAGCATGCTCTACGCATGTGCACGAATGTTACGCTAGTACACTACGCATGCGCACTCCTTCGGGAAGCGACTGGCGCTAACTCGCTTGTTACCGGTGGGCGGGGCATTGGTGATGAAATTAGTGTGCGCCCAGGGTGCCGGATGTGACGGTGTGAATGAGGAGCTGTTGCTGGGTTGAGTTGCACTGGGCTGGTTTCGGTATCTCAGTATATGTCATCCACGCTTGCTTTGGTACTGAATAGCAACGCTAAAAGTTCAGTTCTAATATTCGTCAATGATCTTGCAAGTGTTTTGTATGTAAAGACCATCTGAAGGCAATTTTATTTGTATAATCAAACAGGAAAGAAGGCGGTCTCGCTGGCATTGCTCCCTTGCTTGGCATACTCACTCCATTTGAGTGCTTTTACCGTTCAGTCACGTTTTTGCTATGAAGAAACGAATATGGATTAAGATCCCTTACACCAGCGGTGTCCAAACGATGGCCCTCCAGGTGATGAGGAACTGCAAGTCCCATGAGGCCTTGCAAGACTGACATCTACAGTAAAAACACCCAGAGGCATGCTGGGACTTGTAGTACTTCTACAGCTGGAGAGCCATAGTTTGGACACCCCTGCCTTACACACAGGGCGGATTCTGGTCTGATCTGCTCACAGGTCCTCTTACGTCTAGATGACAGGTCTCCGTTTATGCAGAGCGACATGGAAAGAGTCTGCTTTGCTCTATGGGTGGCCAATTGTAAATGGACTTCGCTGTCTGTTTACACCCAAATGCCCTCCGATCCACCTAGACAAAGGAGGACAAATCCCCTTCTTTTTTTTTTTTTTTTTAGCAGACTGAGGTGTCCTTTTATCATGTAGCGGTAAATGACCGCTGTTCAGTTCTCCAGCATTCTCAGCGGCGAGAGTTCTCTGAATGCCTTTTTATGAAGCGGTGTAGATCGCTTCTCCAAATGAAGAGAGAAGCGATCGACAAACGTTTTGAACGCTGGAAAACGGCTCCCATTACTGTAATTTTGTGAGATTACAGTAAGAGATCAGTCAAACACCGTTTAGTAAGCAGCGGTAAATTATCGCTGCTTCGTTTGCGGTTCCTCTGATTCTCCAGCTCTGAGCTGGAGAATCTGGAAGGAGAACACAGATCGCCAGTGAAGGGCTGACATCGCTCTTTCATATACTGGCAATCTGTGTGCTGAGATGATGTTTTCCACTGATCATCTCTGTTTCCTAAACCACTAATGATCGGAGATCAGCAACGATCCTTAGGATCTCCACTGATCTGTTTCATAAAAGGACACCTTAATCAGATTGGAGATATGCTTATAGTCCATTTAGAGCTGATTCATACATGTGCAGTGCGGATTGAAGCTCAGGTTTCACAACTAATTGACACAATAGTTGTTCAGCAGTTCATGTCAGATTTACATCAGGTTCTGGTCAGGATTTTATCCTGTTCACACATATGTGGTTTAGAAACGGTTCCCATAGAAGTCAATATCCTGTAATGTGCACCAGCAATGCTCAGAAATCGGACATGACTCTTTTTTTTTAAAACCTCAATGAATCTGCTCTGGCCATGCACGTGACATATGTGAACAAGCACTTACACCCACAAGTCCATAGAGGTGAATGGACCGTCCAATAGGGATCACCTAAAAAACTGACAGGCGGCCCTGATCGGACCCTTCGTGTGAAAGGAGCCTTATGCCCCATACGGTTGGGGAGGCTGTAGAGGAAAACATCCACACTACAAGGTATGTCTGATGAGGAAAGAGCCTCTAGTTCAGCACGTACTGTCCTGGAAGTATCAAGGGGTTCATTTAGTGCTGTCCAAATGTGGGACCCCACAATAAAAAATGCCAGAGAGCAAGTTACAGGTGTTAATAGCCTGTAATCTGCACCTAAACCTGAAGGTACTGCTCAGAAATACTCGGAATGAAGGTTTCCACACTTTGAAGTCAATAGTGAATTTCTAAAGAAAGAGCTGATTTACACATGTGCGGTGCGGATTGAAGCTCAGGTTTCATAGCTAATTGACACAGCAGTGTCACAGGTTACCTGCCAGTCCCCCACTGTATTTTCAATGTTTGTATTGGTTTTATCTTTGTACAGTAAAGTGGATTGTTTGGAGTGCAGCCTATTGGACATCCTTTGTTCTCATGCAATGTAATGCATTCTTTCCTTATTGAGTATGCGTGGTCTTGGTCATTTGATTTTTTTCACGGATGAATACTGTACTGATCAAGTGAAAATTGTTAGTTCTCGTATTATACAAGAAAAATTTTCATGCTTGTTCCTTTGGATAATTTTGCAAGACCTGTCATGATCGACTCTCAAATGCTGTGTACTAATGATCAGATTATCGGACGTTCTCTCCGAAAGTGGTGTATTAGGCATTAGGAAGACCTCCTCAAAAGCATTTAAAAGAAAATTGAACATGTTCTCATGTACCTGTTTTTTTTTTTCTAAAGATATACGGATGGACAAAGTCAAGCCGTTCATGTCAAAGGTGATAATAGACCTGTGCAAGCTGTTCCAGATCAAAAAATTACGTATGTCTATCTATCATCTGTAGACTGATGGGCTGGTCGACAGGTACAATAAGACCCTAAAATCAAAAATGTAAAAGATAGGGACTGCTTACTCTCAGTGCTTATGTTTGCCATCAGGAAGGTGTCTTATGCATGTACCGGGTTTCATGAGAAGACCACAGGGGTTGCTTGGCCCAGTAAAGGAAACCTGGGAAAGTAAATCTTCACATAAAATGGTAGTAGAGCATATAGCCCAAATGTGAGAGGTAATTATTAAGGTGATGCCTCTGGTAAAGGAGTATTTACAGAAGACACAAGAAGCACAAAGAAAGGAGTACAACAAACAGACAATTCCAGATTGGATATCCCATGGTTGTGCTTATATCCACAGTAAAAAGTACTTTCCTGGCCAGGTGACTGTTCAAGGTGGTAAAAATGGTCAGTGAGGTAAATTATAAAGTACACCAACCTGGGAAGCAAAAGCCTTACTAAATATACCATGTGAATTTATTAAAATCCTGGAAAGACTGAGGACAGGTAGATGCCCTGGCTGAGGTTAATTCAGGGTCACCATGGTCCCAGTTGCCACCACCCTATCCAAGCCACAAATGGAGTGGGTAAAAGTTTTTACAAATGAATAGGGGGATTATTTTCAGGATTGCCAGGCCTTACCAGTGTAATTGAGCATGTCATCATTACGGAGCCTAATGTGAAGGACCGAGTAAAACCCTATTGCATTCCCAATGCACACAGGAAAGTGGAGGAGGTTCAGCAAATGCTTGAACTTTATATTATTACTGAAGAGTAGCAGAGTGTATGGTCAAACCCAATTCTGTTGGTACTGAAGCCCAATGGAACAAAAACCGCAAAGTATCAATGAGAAAAGACAGCATTCTCCACTTCAGAGGCTCACTTCCAATATAAAGGAATGCCGTTTGGGTCGCATTCTGCCATGGCTAATTTTCAAAGAACAATGGATAACACACTACCCCCTGATGAAGCCACGTGATTGGAGGCGTAACGCATAGGGGAGGGGCTGCGTCATCACTCGGAGAGGAGCCGCACAACGCAATAGACGGCAGGTGTATGACTCAGAGGCCAGCAGAGGATTTCCAATGGGATATTGCGTTATTTAAACCTGTCTAATGTGAGTTTAATACTTGGATGGTGGGAATAAAAAGTTTTAAAAGGTAAAGCACTATGTCCTCTATTTCTTCCTGCATGCGGAGTAACACAAGGAGAGGATAATTAGGAGGTCTGAGATAACAAAAGGAGTGTGCAATCCCTAAGGGGATAATCAGCCACCAGAGGATACATCCATTACTCCTAAAGGAAGGATCTCCCTATTTCATCAGCAAAAGTATATGTCCAGCAGGTTCCAGGGAAAGTGAACCGAAAGCGTGTATAGCCTAATTGCAGGCATCAAAAGGAGGTGAGCGCACATCTTCACTATTTGAAGGATTCACAAAAGTCACAAATTGAAGAACAACAAGCACCAAGTCACTATATATAAACAATTGTTTATTCAATGGGACTATTAATTTGATGATATTTGGATCACACTAATCACTACTAATTATTTATGAGCATTTGGTTATCTTTATTTATGGGGGATCATTTAAATGCGTTTTAGTTGAGTGTTATTAGTTGGTTTACTATTTTTATTATATTAAATGAGGGTATTATGAATATAAATGAAATTGAGGGTATTAGTAAGTACATCATGTCACTAATAGATGATTTATGAGCACTTGGTAAAATATTTTTTTTAGAGGAGTATTTCATGTGGAATTATTTTGATATTTATTTGGAGGAGATTGATTAGTTGAAATTATCTATTTAAATATTTTTTGGTATGTATACACTTTTATTAGTTATTTGTATCATAATTTGAATTAATTTAATGGTAATAATTTAATTAGTATTCATTGAGAAGTATTTAGGAGCGCAACATATATTTGTAGATATTTCCAACACAGTTTTAGTTATGTGTTTTCATGTTTGCGATCCTCTAGTAATTATTACACCCGTGGCTCGCAAGTCACTCTGATTCATCTATACACTACACCCTCATTGGGCATACACCTCAGTGCATTTGGATGACATTGTTATCTTCAGTACAGACAGGGAGTTCCATCTTCCCAGTGTGCAGGCCGTGCTGAATTTTTTAACCATTAGCTGCCCGGCCAATGGCCGTTTGGCGGCTTCAGATGTGCCTCTTCATTCCGGGTGCACGCCATTTGGCGTGCTCCCGCACATGCGCCGTTTGCGGTAATGCAGAGCGGCGCAGCAGCGGGATCTGTCACGGGCCGTGCACCTCGGACACGGCCGATGACAGATCCGAGTACCGGCTCCCGTTGCTGGTACCATGTGACCTGCTGTGACCAATCACAGCAGGT